CTCACCGGGTCTGAGTCGGCCCGACAAGTCAAACGAGCCAGTCGATTCCGGACCATTAGATCTCAACGATCAAGATGATCCAACAGTCAAATTTAAAAAATTTGTTGGCCGAATGTTGCGGATTCTAGGCGACCGGGTCAGACCCGAATTGGAACCAATTAAAAAAGAAAAAAAATCTAACCGTTGGATCTCCAACAATCAAAAGGATCCAACGTCCCAGATTGGCGAACTGCCAACAGCTACTAGCAAGACACGAATCAGCTTGGTCCGATCCAGAAAAATAATAAAAAATAAAAAAAAATTATACAAGGGGCCCAACCTCAAACCGGACCGCGGGTAAAAAAATTTATAAAGGGCCCCCGAAGCAAACCAGTCAAACTACGGAATCAATACCGGACTTATTGACTTTGGGTCGATTCCGGACCGGTATGTGGGCATGTCTAAAATTCATGACCGAGTGAAGGCTACGGACACCTCTCTTTCCCGGCAATTTTGGTAGCTGGCTTTATTAGACTGAAATATAGCACGTGAGAGTTTCAAAAACTACCTCAATCATCCTAATCTTTTTCTTTTAAATATTTGAAAATCATAAATGCTCGCGGTCAACCTTTCCCCATTCATTCTTCACACAGATCTAAACCATCATCTTTTTGATAAAAAAAGAAAACATTCAAAATCACACACACTTCAAATCCATGGCCGTTTCATGTTGGGCTAGCGGCACCCTCTCTCTCAAACCCACCTCCGATACTGCTCCTCAAACTGGCTCCTTTCCTCGCCGGAGCAAAATCAGCTGCCCGCCAGAATTTTTTCCGGCCAGAATAAAAAAATCGCTAAACATGTAAATAACGGTATCCTTTTTTTTTGTATGAGAGATTGTGGGATTGCCGATCATGTATAAAGTTTTTTCCGGTTGATTAAATTTACAGGGATTTGATTGTTAGGAAGGCATCACCGGAGGTGATCGGAGATGCGGTGGCTTCTTTTCCGATTCCCGGCGGCATCCCGGGGCTCTCGCTGCCCGTCGGCGACAATCCATGGTCGGAATAGTGTCTTTTTTATTTTTATTTTTATTTTGTGAGAAGAACAATAAAAAAAGTTTGGTTAACTGAAAATTAATTTCAATTGTAACCTAAATAGATCTCGTGCCGGTCAAGCATAGTCAAATATAACATAACTTTAATTATGAATCACATTTTTCTTCAAGAAAAATTAAAAAATTTACGTACTCTTATCTGTGTGTTGATAAAACGCATGTAGTTAAATTTGTAGAAGTTCTGTGTGATGTATTAAGATTTGACAAATGGGTTTGTGTTGCAGGTTAGCAGGGGTTGCTGGGCTGCTTGTAGTTGTACCTTTAATGGTCCAAAGGCTATTAACATTAACAAGTAAGGGTTCTTGGTTCGTATATAATATATAATAAATAGATAATAAAAAGTTGTCCAGCCGTATTTTCATTTTAGGCTAAATTGCATATTAGATCTATATTTTTGTTTCGTGCGCAATTCAATCCCAGCATTTCGCTTAAAAATCGGAGCTCGCAATCAATAAATCGAGTATCCGAAGTTTACGTGATTGGCTCGTTATCTAATGTGGATGAAGAATAACGACACGTCAAAAAAGAAAAAAAAAGAAGAAGAAGAAGTAGTAAAATAATACATTCACGTTCTTGAAATGAAAAACTGATGTGTCATATTTGAGGAAAGTTGAGAATATTACTCGATGGTAAATATAAACATATTTAAACGCCACACTAAAACGAGACATTTCATTAAATACCCAAAAAAATAGTGAAGTTCCAAAGTTCTAGATTGACAGAGTAAGAAAATCAACCGCAATCCTAATTTGTTTTTTTTTTTTTGATTTTAATTTGCCATTTAGCTTTCGTTTTCACGATCATAGTTCCAACAATAACATTCCATCTTTGTTGAATACATGTTACTCAAATATTAGTAACAATAGAGTAAAGTTAAATGAACTTTGGATCCAAAGCTTGCTAATTGCTAAGGCATTTTAACTTAATCGAACAAATGTGTAACATAATTTGAGCATTTTTCTCCCGTCACCTATTTTTAGAGTGTAATTTTACTTTTTACAGAGCAGGTTGACATGGCGGCCCAAACAGTCGAGAAAATAGCCGACACTGTGGGAAAAGTGGCGGAGGAGGTGGATAAGGCGGCCGAAAACCTTGCAGAGTCATTGCCTGAGGGAAGCCTTAAGAAAGTCGTTGGTATCGTGGAGGATCTGGCTGAAGAAACCGTAAAAGATGCCCAAAAAGTCGAAGATTTGATGGATAAGGTAAATTGTTTTGTTCTATATACTACACTACCTCTTTGTTTGTCCCGGTTTTTTTCGATTAACCATGTCGCCAAATGATCACATGAGCTAATTGGGTTGAATCTTAACCTAGTTTAATTTTGTCATCCCACAAATCGAACGTTTTCTTTTTCCCATGTTATGATATTCGTATTGTGCTCTTAAGCTACACAATGAACATATTGTAGCATAAGTTTATCGAAACTTTTTTTCCCATCTTATATTGCAATTTCTAGGACTGCCCTGAGTTCAAAATACCATATGTTTTGAAAGGAATGTTTTTCACGTTAATATTCTAAGCTAGTGGTGAGATTTCCATTTGATTTTGCATGTGTGTGTGTGTGTGTATAAACAGGTAGAAGAAATGGATGACAAGCTCGAGGAATTTCTGAACAAGAACTTCAAAGGCAGTGATAAAGCCTGATCTATAGTATAGTCAATAATGAGAAAACAGAACAAGTATTTATTTTTTCAATCCAAGATTGAATTTTTTTTCTTGGATTAAATTTATTTCCTCCTGGAAAATTTATTACTACTCTAGCTAGATAGTCACAATTTGATTCTATGTTCTGAGTTTTGTAAGTTTGTAACCTTATTGTCAAGGAAAACTATGGAAACTGAGTATCGAACTTATATTTAAAACTTCGTTTACTATATTTTCTTTGAAATAACATAGGGAGTTTCTGCAAGGACCCGAAACTTGAGAAGGAAAGAGGGAAAAAAAAGTTCGAAAAAGAACTTCAATAAAAGTTTTACATTTCACAATATAAGCATACAATTTTAATCAAAGCATACTATTAGAATCTTCCCTTTATGAATCTTCACAAGCAAGGGGTGTATTAAAATATTAACTTGTGAGTTGTCTCATATTGTTTATATAAGAAAAATAGGTCATTTTTCCTATATAAACGATGTGGGACTGAATATTTAATACATACGACGAGTAAATATTAAGGATCCCCTAATCGTTGGAGTGCGAATTTTTGCTAACTTATAGCATATTACAACAAAGAGCTCACTAAGTTCCCACCATAGAACACACAAATGAACTCGTGAGTCAAAGTTACGAGCAGAGCTTACGCGAAGAGAAGTCAAACTCCTATGTTGAAGACAAATAACAAGTAGAACGCATTTTCGAGTTACAAAAGAAGTCAAATTCCAATGGTGGAGACGAGTAAAGAGTTGAAAGTATTTTCAAGGCAACAATGGCATTGGCAGCCTCCGTGTAATGAATTCCATCCCAACTTACGTACGGTGTTCCTTCATCACAAACACTAAATCTAGTGCCCAAACACGTCTTGTCAAAATCATCAACATAGTTGTGAGGCGGCCCGCCATGTCCACAACAAGCCATCAACGGATATTTGAAGCCTTTATATTAAAAAAAAAAAAAAACGTGCATTGGGTAAGTGGATGAACATCCCAAAAGAAGGAAAAAGAGAAACTCGAGTTTTATATTAAGAAAAAATTTACTCACCATATGATGTGGAATTTGCAATGAGGTCATACTTGATGGAGTAGATATCCACATAGACGATCGTGGAGTTCTCCATTTGAGAATGTAGCTGTTCACAAAGGGAACTTAGCTCAGCATTGAATGCTTTTGCACCGTCGTTCAAAGAATTTATGCATCCATATTGGTCGAAATTGCTGTTATTTAGTTTTTCTCTAAGGGCAATTTCTCGAGGTAAACAACCCAATGGTCCTGTGCCGTGCACCCAGAAATTCCGCCCACCGAGTTGATATATGGCCTGAATTACATAATTTTGATTAATATAAAGACCAACCAGATAATTCAATTCAAAAAAAAAAAAAAGTGGTTCATGTCTTATAAGTATCAACTTCTATTCGTCTGCAACGATAAATAGCAAAAGTTATGTATAACCAGATTTATAAGATACTGTAGGTTGTTATTTCATTTAAACACAACACTCCAGGCAGGATATCAATCTAAGTAACCTCTCATTGAACAAAATGAGACCCACCCACATAGCATCTTTGATTTCGGATATGAAAGAAGGGATTCTTTCAACAGTTTCAGCATATGAGATGGCGCCAAATGAACCCGAAAGATCATTTTGCCCAATATCAAATGTGTAAAGTGCGTTCTTGAAGTCATCCTTTCCCACCAAATTTATGTGACCTATAAACGAAAAATTCCAATTTACAACTTAATGAACCCACGCCTTTTCTTTCAAGGAAGAATGCAGTTTTCATGTTACTTACCTTTCGAATGAAGCTCCACTGAGCGGTTGTAGAAGTGCTTGAACTGAAGAATTTGAATATTCAAATTGAAGGGCCGAAGTTTAGGGAGTGTGCACGATCCAGTTACTGCAAAGTTGACTCCATTCGAGAAGTCGGATTCCAAAGAATCCAAATACGGACTTAAGTATTTCGTGTGAAGATATTCACCTGTCAATGCAAGTTATACCAGGAAATTTCATATCAAGTTCTTTGTAATGAATATATTAAACATTTAAACGACTTGCCTAAAAGGAAAAGCAGTAGTCAGTAGAATTGTGCAAATCTGCTCAGTTCAGACTTATTATAGTTTATAATCATCAATTATTTGCAGTTCTGCATCTGAAACAATATTTCACCTCCATCTAGTAAGTTATGTCACATTTGTGCATATAAATATTTAATTCCCAATTTCTCTTCATAATTTAAAGAACAATATGGGCGTAAGACTTCTGTTAAACGGTCTAACGGATAACAATCATATTTTGTCGGCATAATTTCAAACAGAAAAACATAAACAGAAGTATGAAATTTTATAGCATAAATATATATCTTTGTTATCTTTCGTTTGATCGGGGTCGTCTAAGTCACCATCATAGAAAACAAAACAATTAATCACGAGAATTTGGGGGAAAAAAAAAACTTAGTACCAATCACAGTATTCACACAAATTAGCAACCTACAAAGCTTATAGCTTGAAAATTCTCCGCTATTAGAGCAAAAAAGACAGAAATTGTCTGATGAATGAAACCATTTTTGAATGCTCGTAAATTCAAAAGTAAAGATGCTTGATTAGAAAAAAAAAGTCGTAAAAATTAAAACTACAAAAGGTAGCAAATCTAATCGAGGTGTGAATTTCGTCGAGCAGGCTCTACTTACAGAGGAAATCAATGACCAGCCGCCCATCGGACGCTCGGCCGGTTGGTCGCCGGAAAAAGGCTCGGCCGTACGGGTAACGGTATTCCAATCCCAGACCGGCGGTGATGCCGCCGGTGTCTGAATTTGAATCGCCGAAGTTGAAAATGAGAGGTCTGTTTCTACTGCAAAGAGAGACGACAAAAGGGAGACAAACTGTGAGAGCAACAAGTAAATGAAGTGAGAGTATATTCATACTTGCTGTCAAATATGAGAAAGTGGGAGAGACGCAACCAATTATAGAAATAACCAATAAATTTCACGTGCAGAGAATGAAAAATAGTAGCTATATACTACGGTCCCGTTACGGTATCATCCCGTCAAGTGTTTAAACCGTTGGATTATCTATCTTATACAAATTACATGTGATCCAACGGTTAAAACACTTGACGAGATGGTACCGTAACGGGACCTTAGCATTTCTCTGATATTCGTAGTATCAGTATGTAATTTTTCAAAAGAAAATATGACGAGTCGACCATCAAACGGTTAAGCTGGATTGAATAAGAATTTGTGTAATTTTTTAGGTTTAACCAAAACATCCAACAAACCCTTTTTTTCCTATTTATAAACTTTTTTTTCCCATTTATAAGGTGCCATCGACAACTCATTTTTACTATTGCAGTCACAATCCAAAAACCTAATAACTTTAATCTATTATAAAATTCATCTATAAGTAAAATATCTATTTTTTATTATTTTATGTATAGGTAGATGATAAAATAGTATAATTATAATTAGGATTTTTAAGAATTTAATTATATGTTCAACATTTGAACTAACAGACGAACGGTTGAACGATGACCCAGAGACCAAGAGCCGGGTTCAATCACAAGTCCCCGGAGGTCAATCAATTACCCAGAGGTCAATCACCTGATATTAATGCATTGCCATAAATTGTTGACTTCTTATGTATTTTGTTACATAATAGTATAAATGGATGTATTGGTAAATAATATTAAATAATATTTATAAAAGAAAAGGGAGTGAAATTGTATATTTAATTATTTACACGCGAAAAAAGTTGGTTAGTTTTGCTTAACCAACACTCTTTTTCCTTGCTTAAACTAAGGCAAAATGTAATGATTCGTCTCTTTATTTATGAATTATGAGTACTGCACAATAAGCTCTGTATTGGATAGAGATAGCCACTGGTAGTGCGTGCAATTGGTCGAAGAGTTTGAATTTTGAAATGTGATTAATACCTAGTAAGAGTTGACAATTACACTGATTTTGGTGCAAGACAAAGTTGATTCATAGGTCAAGAGCTCTCGATGAACCATCCGCCTGAATATGATGAAATCTTAAGGGAATCTATATGCTTTTTTCCCCTTTATTTCTGTTCATTTTGTTTCCTCATATTCTTTTGATGATAGAAATATGTATCATATTCAGAAAGAGTTGTGTGCGTGATGAATATTCGTAGATCATGAAAAATAATGATTTTATTAAGGTTGTAGCTAGAAATATGTAAGTGAATGATAAATGATATTAGTTGGAAAATACACATTAAGAGTTTCGTTTATTTTTTAATTGTGCTAATGAGATATGTAGGGTAAAAACGAGATGAAAAATGAATAGTTATGTCGAAATTTTTGTTTCATTTTCGTTTCAATGAGAAAAATCTTGACAAAACAAATAAAAAAATTATATCCAATCCCAGCCGTAAGATCTATACAGCAACACTTCGGATGAAAGGTAGAAGATAATTGAAAGAGTTATTATTATTACATGGCAAATAAAAAGAAAAATTTCCAATCTATCGGCTTTAGACCCTGCCTCAATAGGATCTTCTCAACACGTCAGTCAGCAGACAAAATAATATAATGGTTCTTGATACTCCTAACAAACATTACACATTGGCTGGAAAACACATTTCCAGGTCTGTATACACTGTTGAAACACCAAACGAGAAATACAACTAACAGTTACGGTATGTTTTGAAGTATTTCTTTGCTTGAATGATACTGCTACATCTTTCTGCCGAGCAGTTAAAAATTTTTCTCCATTTATGAATCTTCCAGAACCATTTGTATGCTAGTGTACACACTTCTCCACATTCGAGAAAGAAGAGCAAGAAAGTTAAACTCTATGAAAACAGTAAACCAGACCTGATTGGGTACGAATACCTTCATTCATTGGAGAGTAGTTTGTTTCCTGTGGGCCCAGAGCATTACGAGAGAGAATCCCATCAACGACATAACTACCGTCTGCAGAATCAAAGGAAAAAGTGATTTTATGATAAATAATACCAGCATGCGAGATTCAACAAAATACCCATAATCTTTGCATGGGTTTTATTTCCCGAAAGCAGTAAGTTGAGATGCAAAAAATGACGCGCTCAAAACATCAGCAGCCAATGCATTCTTGGTCAAATACATTAGTTATCACTTATTAACTTTACCGAAATAGCAGGAGGAATGCTGACGAGTGGATCTTGAAAGAACTTATTTGCAAGCGCTAGAGCCAGAAGGCTGCTCTGCATGCCTATAATAATAGTATTAAAAGAAAGGGGGAAAAAAAAGTGGCTGGTTAATTTGGATCATGCCATCATGGATCAACCAACAATTACCATCGTTCACCAATTTAACGATGTCAACATTATTATAATCACCTGTCTCGTAGGATAAAGTTCTTTGCAGAGCTTTGATGTCAAGGGAATCACGGAAAATGATACCCGTGAGAGAAAACCCTGCAATGAAAGCCGAAAGATGAAATGCAATCACGAGCAGGAGGATTGAAATCCCAGAAGGTGACATCACTGACTCCACGTTGATCGCAAGTGGGGCCCCAACACAGAGAGCCGTCACGAAAACCGAAAGCGGGGGCAGAAATGGTCGGATGGCATTACAAATTTTAGGAAAAAACCTGCAAAGCAAGAGTCGGATAAAGTAAGTGAAGCTGTTAGTGTAGCATGTGATTCAAACTGAAAGTATATAATCCAAAGTGGGTTTTGACTATGGAAACTTTGCCACTGAGGTTTATCAAAATACATAAATAATTTACTAAATTACAAACAATCCTTTATATGTCTATATAACTTGACAGCTAAGCACAAAAAATGTAAGAGGTTATCTTAATTGGGGTTTTTAGAAATTAGACTAAACCTCATGCGTAAGTTTCCTTAATTATCTCCATAGAAGTAGCAAAAAAGACCTATTTAAAAGCAATCCAGTTGCAATAGGAGTGACAACGATTTGGAGGATATTGGAAACCATCCCTTTCACGTCAACCGGAAGCTTTTTGCCGATAAGCGACAAAGACAAAAACGGGGTCACAAAAACAGCAGTGGCAGTGGATATAGACGTCATTACAATGCTAAGTGGCGCCATCTCAGGATCTGTTAGAAAAGTGGCGTAATTGGAGAGCTGGGCACCACTGACGCAAGAAGTTAACATAATCCCAGCAGCTGACCAGCAGAGTAATGGAAGTTAGGCCTTTTATTTGAATTTCAAGGCATAAAATCTTGCAAGGAACATCTTTTTACCTAAGGAAGTCGGAAGACCAAATATAGTCATTGAAATTGTGCCGAAAAAGTACCCGAGAAGGGGTTTCACAACAAATTGACCAATATAGCCAGCAATAATGGCTGCTGGTCTACTGAAAGCTTTGAGAAAATCTTTTTCGCTTGAATTAACTCCGACTGCAAACATCAAAAATCCTAATGCTGGAGCATAGTACCTGAATATGAAAGCCGAATGATGTAAAGCGTTAAACTGGCACAAAGTGTTCAAATAATATGACATTTTCCTTGTAATTTATCATCTTAACACACACCAACAGTCACACAAAACATATTGATATCTTTGTTCCCCAGTTCCCAGTCATCGTAGAGACCATCCCCACTTCAGAATTACACATTTTGATCCTCTCAACTCATCATATTCAGCAATTAAGCCTTGAATTGGCATCATGCTTACAAGAATTATGCAAAGAATAGCAGTACACCTGTTAGTGAACCAACTAAATGAGGGCGGGTATATAAGAGCCAAAACTGTACTTGCTAGGACCACTTGAGGTAGAAAAGAGTTTGCTCCCTTCAAAATGGTCATCAATGAGATCTCATCTTGGATCTGAATCAAATTAACCAGAATGAGACTACTGTAAGAAACATCATGTAGGAAGTACTACTGCAATCAACTGATTGAAAACAGAGAATCTTCCTCACAAGTTATAAATGCCATTTTATTCACACAACTCTATTGACGCAAAGTATTGAAAAGAAAAATCAATTTCATGGAGAAAACTAAAAGATGATATTAATACAATCTGCATAATCAGACCATTTACTTAGCTAATACTATTGCAGGGACATGATAATAAAGGCAAACAGTTTGAAGTCCCAAACTCGCACACACATTGTAATGGAATCATAATTAATAGGACAACATTCAATCTACAACCAAATAATCACAATAAGGAAACTAAAGCCATAAGTTTTAGAATTGAAATAAATCAATTGTAGTAAGAACTAGAAAACCATATAAAAGACACCTCAAGAGATCCAAATGCATGATCAGAAGGCTGCTCTGGAGGTGAATTTTCCGGCGCACACTTGCATACTATGAATGCTCTTGAAAATTTAGCTGCATTTTTGGGGGCAACGCACCAAAATCAAACGTCGATATGGTTCAAAGAAAAATCAAAAGTTCACCAAGAGATTGATTTAGCTTCACTATATAAGTACTTTAAATGCTAATACACTTGGAAGACACAATCCTGCATTGCAGACGAATTTAATTATTACTATTTACAGAAAAAACAACTTTTGCTTGTTTTTCGTTTTAAACTTCACACTCCGTTGTCATTGAGTAAGAGATTGAAATTGAAAATGCGGCGAAAAGAGACCTGAAAAGTTGGAGCGATTCAGATTTTTCGGGGATGAGAAAGCGGCATCGCCGGTGAACTTGAGCCATCGATTTTCCGATTGAATAAAAGAGTGGCGGCGATGGAAGTGCGGACGGGGGTTCAGAAGCATGCCGCTCGCACTCATTCTTTTGCCTTCTGCCAGAAAATGGCCGGCACTTGAGAATCTATTTTGGTAGTGGGTATTGACTTTTGGGCATGAGGTCCATTAGTGAACCACTAGAGGGAGCTCGTTAATTAGGCAGAATTACAGATGAAGGCCCCGATTTTAGATTCTTGAGATGGGAAATTTATATATAAAAAACAATAAAAAAAATAAGTGAACAAAAAAAAACAAAAAAAAAAGTTCTGAATTGAAAAACGTATTTTGTAAATACGTTTTTCAATTAAAATTACATAAAAAAACGTATTTAGAAAATCCAGAACATAAACAAACTTTTTTTTGGGGTAAAAAAATCCTCTCTCAAGACCTGAATTTCACATTTTCTGAACTCAAAACTTGAATTTATATTTATTCTCAATTTGTCATATAGTCCAATGTTGATTCTTATTAAATTAATGGGAGTGTATTATTAATTGTTCGGACTATAAGAATCATGGTGTATTTAATTTAGACATTTTAAAACTTCTAAAAAATTTTAGTATTTGTTTGAGATTTCAAAAAGTCTTAACAAAATGCAATGTATTTAACTTATTTGACATTGAGATTTAGTAAGACCTTTAAGATTTTCTAAAATTTCAGAAACAAAACCTATTACGAAATTTATTCCATTTCGAAACTTAAGATTTCTAAGAGTTCAGCTTAAATCTCAAAATCTTAACAAGTCTCAAAATTCAACAAATTTTAAAATATTTAAGGGCGTGTTTGTATACAAATATATCTGCTCAAATGAGTTTTTTTTTAACCATAATTAAGTTTTTTAAAAAAGAATAGCATAATTAGTTGTTAGTAAAATTTTTGATTTTATATTAAAATAAAATAATTAAAATTCATTTGATGTAAAAGTAGGAGAAAGATGATATAAAGTGATAGTTAGTTAAAATTATGTGAGTGTATGAATAGTAAATTAAAGGTGATGTGATGTGTAAGAATAATTGGTTAATATCATTTAATTATATTGATAATACTAAGGGTAGTAAGATTGAGTTAAAATTGAGTTAAATTTAACTGTAAAATTTAAAATAATGCTTCTTATTAATTTTAAAATTTAAAAATAATTATTTAACAAGCACTCGCGTAATACACGAGTGTTGTACTAGTTAATATTAATTTTAAAATGAAGGTACGCAATTATTTAATTCAAGTTAACCGCACTAGTTTTAAAATTAACGGGTAAAATAAATTTGTAACTCGATAGTCGATACAGTATGGCTACACGGAAGGGATCAAACTTCAGCACAACAAGAAATCAAAATATTGATGCTTGTATCCATTCACAAATCTATATATATATATATAATTGCTGGCAAACTTCAATAAATTTTATTCAGCCAACAATTAAAAAAATAGAACTTCATTTAATAAAAATATTTATGAAAATAAATTTTATTCAATTAGCAATTAATAAAAATAGGACTTAATTTATTAAAAATCTTTATGACCAACATTCAAATGACAGTTACACAAGTAAAACCTTATTATCATTAATTTTTTATTCTGTAACAGCTTACAAGATTTTAAATTTTCTGAATATACAATATTAAATTATTTTACAGCTAATATTCCTATTATGTTTTATAGTTATAAAAAAAAAACTGATTTATATGAATGTTGAATAATTTATATTTATATTATACATTTACATATACTCAAAATTTTAAAATGTAATACACACTTTATTTAACTTAAATTTATAAATATCATATACATACATATAATATATAATTTTTTGTTTTCCTATGTGCATGTGCACATGATCGAATACTAGTCAAAATAAATACGTAAACTAATTAATATATTATCAAATACTATAATAAAAAAAATCCGAAATTTAATACATTTTAAAATCTTATACAAACATATATTCGTATCAAACTATTACATTATATAGAAGATAATAATAATATTAATTATTAAGTATATTAATTTTCATTCAAATCCAATACACTTGCAAATGGGATTGTCTCTGATTAATAATTAATTAGTGAGTAAAAGCCCTCTTTTCGATTGCTTCATTCATCAATAGCCCGGTGCTGCACTCTGATTTTCTTTTACTCCCTTCATCTCACCCAATCTTGCCGTGCTGCATTTTAACTGCGTGTAGCCATTGATGTTTAAAAAGAGAAGATAAGATAAGTGAGGAAAATAGTTCCTAAAACGGTTATATTGAGCTGTTACGGCAAAAATCTGAAAACCCCTCTAATCTGTATTGCTTTGGGGTCCATTTGTTGTGCATATTTTCCTTCAACAATAATTACACTTCTAATTTTATCTTCCTGTTGGTGATTCCGGAGGTGGGTTCCATTAATTGATCAGAAAGATCGGGTTTGTGATTGGGTGTGTGATGACCCGCAATGCAGCTGGTGAAGATCTTGTGGCGGGGGGCGATTACGTGCAACTGGAGAAGTGTGGTGCCGATGGTGTGGCCACGTGTCAGGCGGAGGCGTCCTCGTCGGGTTGCTGCGGCGGCGGTGCCGATGCCGGTGTCGGAGGTTGGTGGTGGTCTTGTTGGTGGTGGGCGAAGCTGGTGCTGGTAGTGCTGTTTGTTGCCGTGTTGGGTGCGGTTTTCTTCAAGTGGGTCGGGCCCTTCTTCATGGATAAGGTTAGTTTTCTTCTGAATTGGCGCAAACTGGTTTTTCGTTGTGAAAGTCATGAATTTGTGCATAAATGGATTAATTTTTATGTGTTCTGCTTCTGTTCCTTGTGATTCACTAGGACGTGGAGCTTAATTTTGTTATTGTAATATATGCTTTTTCCCCTATCCGTTTAGATTAACCTGTGTAGTTTTCTTAACTATAGTATTGGGTGGATATGTTGTAGATATGCAGGCAGTCTCTATACTTTTGCCATCTGTTAATCTGTATTTGGCAGGAAAAGTGTATGCATATAAGCCGAGTTCAATGCCCTCTTAGATCATTCACTCATTTCCACCTATTATGGTTTCTATTGCCAATGTGATCATTTTCATCTGACATTATTTCATAGTCAGTTTTTATCTGAACGTGATGCGTATTTTTTTTTTTTTTTTACAGGAAGTCATCCCCATTATAATTTGGGAGAGGGANCGGTTTTCTGTTTCTTTTTTTCGTATCTTTAGTTAATAACAAGTACACTCTCTATATTTCTTACTGCAGGCATGGCTGGAAAGGTACCCAAAGAAAGCTTCTATTATAAGATTGGCCGGTGAGGGAAGTTGGTTCAATCAGTTCCGTGCTGTTACTTTGATTAGGATTTCTCCTTTCCCTTATGTTGTGTATAACTACTGTGCCATGGCTACTGATGTGAAGTATGGTCCTTATTTGTTGGGGACAATTGTGGGAATGATCCCAGAAATTTTTGTTGCACTTTACACGTGAGTCCACCCTCTTCCCCTCCTCTCTTTATATGTGATGTGAGTATATTTGTGCATATAAATTTGTGACGATCTAATGACTCATAAATCATCAAATGTTGTTGCTTTCTGTTCGAACTCATTGTGTATTATTATAGATCGGTTTCTTCAACTCATATCTGAAGTTTTTTTTTTGTTAATAATTAGAAGATATTTATTGGTTAGTGTTCTCTAGGATTCTTTTGATGCTGTTTTGTCTGAACTATTTTCACTGGGAGTGCAATACCTGGATTCAGTAATATAATTTTTTCATATTGTGGTCTTTGGGGTACTTAAATACTGCTGTTTTCTTGCATCACTGTGTGCTTTGAAATTTGATGGCAAAGAATATGAAGTTGCTTGTTTTTTAGTATTGTACTTGTTTTCGTGTTGTGAATGTACTATCTATCCTCTTATCACAATCTGTTGTTAGATGCTTGAACAAATTCCCATATTTTAGGTTTCTTATTGTACGGTGTTAATTTGGTGAGATGGGATAGACTTTTGTTAGATTATTTATATACAGTACACATGTACACACTTTCTTATTGCATATTATTGTTACTTTCTTATGGTTGTAAGCAAATTATCAACTGGCAGGAATCCCTGGATCTCGATTGTTAATTGTAGCATTAGCTTTTCTATGTCTGAATATCATACTTTGATATTCTTATTGCTTAATATAATTTAATTGTATTTTTCGTCTTTCCTTTTTTTTCTTCTTCTTTTTGTTTGCGCATGAGAGCCGAAATTTTCTTGACTAATTATGTGTTGTTTAATTGTAGTGGCATCCTCATTAGGACTTTAGCCGATGCTTCACACGACCAGCACTCCCTATCAGGAATTCAAATTGTGTTCAATGTTGCTGGCTTTTGCATTACTGTGGTCTCAACAGTGATCATAACTCTATATGCAAAAAAACGACTCAAGGAACTCCAGATGGAAGAGGAGCTATTGTTGCCGTGAACTTTTGGTTCGTATATGAAAATATTTCCCAGGAATCAAGTTTTTGTTGGTAAAGATACACCACAGGGAGATTATAGAAATATGAAATCTATATATATATATATATATATATATATATGTATTTTTCCTTATTCTGCCTTTTGGTCATTTCTTAATTTAGTAGTGGCTAATTGTGTGACCTGCATGGAAGGTGGGGATATGGAGTTCTAGATTGATGAGCAGGGAGAACTTTATTTTCCCTTGATACTGCTGCTCTTTCGATTCTTATGATCAAGCGTACTTGTATGTAGTAAAAACTAAAAAGATCATAGCTTTCTTTAGTGGTGATACTTCGCGAGAGTTGTACACTGTTAATTTATGCCTTATGTTTTAGTGTCGATGTATTAAATGCAGATTCTTGGTAATTCACCGAATTTTATGAAAAAGTTCTCTTTCTAATAGTGTGTGATGAACATAAGTGAGTTTACAAGAAGCTGAGTCGATGTGGACATCACAGATTAGCATTTGAGCTATAGATATTTTTCATTCTTTAGTCTTCAATATTACTCTTATTAGTTGAATCTATTCAACTTGAGTGTGTATTTTGTGAAGCAGAATATTCAACATGTGTGTTCAGCAGCATGTGTTCCTTCAGAGAAATAAAAGTACACAGAAAATGGGAGGAGCTTGAAGATGCATCGTTTGAACCTTTAGGGATATCAAACGATCAAGCTGAGTTCGAGTGCGAAGTCGGAAGCCTGGAAAACTTTCACTGCCCAAGTCTCATGCCTATTTTAAAGCCATTACAGGTCATTTATCGTGAATGAAATTAATATTATCAGAAGTTGCATTGATAGGGAATTTACACGACAATATGTGCATGGAGTTAGTTATCCTAGTACAATTAGTGATTCTTTTATTTTCTTTTCAACGGCAATATAACAACTTGTATTAATTGGCATATAACCAGAGCCTTGGACTATCTCCACATCAAAACCACTAATGTACAGCTATATGAGAGCTATAAATAGAAGGTTTTGATCAAATTGGAAAGTCCAATTATGGAGTGCGAAAGTCACTACTATAGAACCATATCTATGCTTCTTCAAACGTGACATTGACTTTCGGAGCTTCAACAGATTATACCGTTGGTAGTTGGTACCCTAGCGGGCTGCATGACAAGAAAAAATGAATCAGCAAGTGCATTTTAAATTTGAAATAAAAAAAAAAAAAAAAACGAAATAACCGATACTAGCAACTACTTTTGGAAGAGAAGTAACATGTTTATGAATATGTAGCATATTTAGAGCATCTTCAATGGCCTTTCCATTGTTTTATTTTGTTGCCACATGGCACAAAAAATCTGATGTGGTATGGAAAATGTCTAGAAGGCTTTCTAAATGTAGAAGTCATTCTAAACAACTTCTATCATATATTTGTTATTTATTCAATTTATCTCTATTCTCCAACCAATTACAATTTTACACATCACAAATAATACCACAATTAACACTCACCATTGGAGACACGGTTTTTTAATTTCCTTTTTTCACGTCATACAACATAAAATGTAGAATTTTCCATTGGAGAAGCTCTTATTTCACTGCCAGAAGAGATTTTATGGAGGGGTACGTTGCCCGAAAATAGATAATGTATACACAAAAGTAAAGAAATGAATAATTTATCAGTGTCGAACAGAAACTATTCAGTCTTTTTCTCTATTATTACTTGAAGTGAATGTTTTTAACTTATTACAGCTCATCTGAGACTGGATCCCTCAGTTTTACAGGGTACTATTTATAGTAAAGTAAAATGTACACGTTAGCTTCTAAATTAGGTTAAGTGTCAGTCTGCATGGGTAGAATAATTCCTCGAGTGACATGTGTTCCGACAAATAGGTGGCTAGATGACATTTAATTGACTGGGTCGGCTACATTACGTTGGAGGCTCTGCGCGGCTCTGCAACTGATGAGTTGTCCTGTCAATATTTTGTGCACATTTGTTAGGTACATCTAGACTACACTAGTAAGTTGTCAAATCTTTAGGTCGGCAAATATGTTGTTCGGCCTATGTTTTATTCCGCGTGGTGTCGACCTCTTATGCTGTGTCGGGTCGGTTTTTAGCGGTTCTTGAACTCGGCCGGTCCTGGTGGTTCGATCTTTTCGCGGTGGACATGTGTCGCTTTGGCAACACCTCGGCAAGTTCGGTTATCAACAAGGTACAATAAATATAATGCCTACAAAGATTATATATAAAAATAAAATCAAACTTTTTTAATGTTCACATTAATAGCACTTAATTTACACATAAACTTTTATTTGTATTATTTTATTTTTAATAATAGCTGTTAAAAACTCTTTTTGATATGGCAAATTAGTATTGAGCTAAAAGAAATGTTATCATAAACCATTTATGCAAAATAAAAAAGTATTAAGTTGTATAAATTTTTAAAAAATGAACAATCATAGATTAGCTTAATGAGGAAAGCATGAAAACACTTTACTTTAGATTGAATTTTACGATACAAAATTATGAATATTTTAAGGTTCGACAAGAATTTTGAATATACGTATTATCTAAATTTAGCGATTAAGGGGGTGATTGGATATAAATTCAATTAGTAAAAAATTAGTTATTTTTTAATTATAGTTAAATTTTAAAAAAAGTAGTATGGTTAGTTGTTAGGGGATATATTAAAATAATATTTAAATTAAAATAATTAAAGTTGATTTGATGTAAAAGTAGAAGAAAATGATTAGAAGTGATGGTTAGTTAAAATTATATAAGTGGATGAATAATGAATTAAAGTTGATGTGATGTGTAATAATGATTGATTGATATTATTTTATTATATTGATGATATTGGAGATAGTGGAATTGAGTTAAAGTAGAGTTAAATTTGAGTTTTGATTGAGACATTTACTGTACAATTCATATACAATCACGCCCTAACCAAGAAAACTAAAAATTCTCATGGGGTTTCGACAAGCTATGTACATATTGTTTTTTTTTCACCCTAAATAATGATCATAATAAAAGTAAAAGAAAAACAATAATTTATTAATTAATTACACATATATATGAAAAAGGTTGGGGGGGCATGTGCATCTGTGCGGCATCTAGGTTCATCCTGAGTGAATCATTGTATGTCCACCAGTGACACAATTATAACTGATATAGCATTCCGAATAGTTTTGTAGACTGGCTTGAGTGGTTAGCTCGAGTATATAACAGGTCCGGGAAGGTTTAAATTCGGTATCGAAATTTGACCTCGTCAAGGAGCTCATTTAGCAGCTCAGGGACACATGTCAACCTGATAAGAAGACCTGACAAACGGGTTCCTTCAGGAACTCAGATGGATTTTTAGTGTAAATTTTAATTTTCACATTTTACAAAATATAAACTTAATTTCTCTTCTTTTTTTTAGAAATAGTTGTCAAAATACAAATAAAACAAAAAATATTCAAAATAACCATACCCAAATGGCCAAATTTAATTCAAAATACAAACTTTCAACGAAATTATGGATAATTAAAGTCAACCCACCATACATTGGGGATCGTAATTGTAGCCGAATTTCAAAAACACAATCTGGACAAAGGATTCCCATATAGAATCCCAAACTGTAATTACAAATATATCCCTCATCCAACGAAAAGCAACCTTGGACGCTCCCACAGTGGACAATAACCCCTCGATTTTCAAAAAAATTACCGTTGATTCTAACTGCTGACGTGATCCATAAGAATACTATGCAGTTGAGCGAGAAAAAAACAAAACGAATTAAACCGTTGGGGCAAAACTGTACTTTACCCCTGAACCAAAAAAGCGAGCCCCGACTTTCGACCCGCGCCGGAATTTCAGTGTCTTGGGGACAGGCACGACCCGCCCCGAGAAAGAGCTCGAAGTCCAATGACCACTTTGCCCCTCTCATTAAAGGACAGATAATTTAATACCCCTGCCCGCAAACTGACAATTCAAACATCTCCATTTCCCAATATAAAAGCTCTCCTCACATTTCAAAATTTCAAAAATCAAATATAATAAAAACCGTACCTTTTTTATGTTAAAAAAAAGTGAAACTACTAAAATTAGGGGGTCTTTCATTAAATGTGACAGCCAAATCAGATCAATTGGATTCTTTGGGGTGATGAAAGTGATTTGACGCTGGTGTGATTGCCTCAATTTATCCTCTCTCGCTGGTTTTAGGCTTTGCTCAGTGGACCAAGATGAAAGACCACATTCATGACTCACTTTTTCTAGAAAATGATCTACTGATGCATAAAAGATTTGACATGGAAAATTATGAAAATTATAGTGTTGGTTTAAATTAGTCACTAAATCTAGGTTTAGGCTTTGTTTATAGTGATTATGATTTTGATGAACTAACATTTTACCTTAAAAAAGTTAAATTAACAATAGATTAATATAAATTATTTTGGTAATGGAGATTGCAATTGTAACTAATTTTACATATGAAACAATAAACTATTTACTAGACATTTACATATAAATGAATTCAACACCTTATTAAAATTTGCTAATTCAATCAACAATCAACTATTAGCTAATTGAATCTAACTGGGTAACTTAAACGCTTCTGAATTTTATGTGATAAATTTTAATGCTTTGCCATTTCACGTGGATGAATTTTAATTTACTTTCAACTAAAAAATAAATAGGCACTGAATATCTAAAAATATATCGAATATTTATGAAATTTTTATGATAATTAATCATGTTTTGACATCATTATCTATTCTATAAATGGTTTACAAGGCATAAATTTTTTTTCAATATTTCTCTTTTCCTCAATCTTTCTTTCAAAAAAATAAAAAAATAAAAAAAATTACCAACATAAATTATAAAAATATTTTAAAATTAATAATTTTTGAATTTATTACAAATTTTTATATATATAATATCAATAAATAAATAAATAAATATATTTATCTTTATAATTAAGTTAAATTATCTATTAATGTTATTTAAAAAAATTAAATTATTTAGATTAATTTAACTACAATGTAGTTACATGATATAAAATAAAAATATTATAATATAAAATGAGTGAAATGAGTACGAGTGTTATTTTAAATATAAACAATAATATATATTTTTTTAAAAGTATTTAAAATTCAAAATATTTTTTTCTCCATTCTTTTTCAGTTTTAAATATAATTTTATAACAATCATATGTGCAGTACACTATATTATACTAGTCTATAATAAGCATAAGTATTTGATTACTAGATTAATAGCTTAATATACATACATTAAAATTAGGAAATTGATAATATATTTAGTTGAGTTATATTTAAATTAATTGACTGAATCACTGGACCCATATCCGTCATTTTCGTCGCTGTTCAAATTTCCGGATCCTCTTCGCCTTGTGCCCCTCTCTCTCTCTCTCAAACAATTGTACACAATTACACACAAACTCCTGTCTCTATCGTACCCACCAGCCACCAGAAGCACATTTTCAATTGCCATTATTTTTCTCTCTCGAACTTCAAGATTCTCCTTCAGCCTTTTCCCCCCCTCTCAGACCTCAGGTAGTCGTCAGTGTTCACTAAAACATTTTCATCGTGCGTCGAGCGAGCGAGCGAGAGAGAGAGAGAGAGAGAGAGAGAGAGAGAGAGAGAGAGGTGAGCGAGGCAATGGAGGAAGACATGGTGGAGGATACTGAGAATGCGACGGCGGTGGAGGAGGAGGAGGAGGAGGTGGATTACAGTTTCACTGTGTACGAAATTGACCTCGACTACGAGTTCGACGCGGCTCGCTTCTTTGATTTTAGCCGGGACGAGTCGCCTCTGGAGGCGCGCCGGGCGGAGCTCTGGTTCGAATCCGCCGGAAGTTACCCCCCTTCGAGTAATACTAGCTTTTCTCATCCTCTACTCTGGACAACAATCTCAAAATGCTGGATATTATCTTTTTTTTTTTTTTTGTTTTTTTAACTTAGATCAGTGATGAAAGTGGTTTGGATCATTATTGTTTTCGTTATCCATTTCTATTTTCAATTTTTTTGGTAGTTATTTTTAAGAATGATGTGGAAGTTACAAGTTTTGGAGATTGAGGCACTGTTGTTTCTAAGAATTATGTTAAAGTTAAATATTCTGGAATTGTTCAGCATTTTGCCAGTTCGGAAGCTGATTATGATGTTGAGTTTATTAATGGTTGAATATCATATAAGCTAATGTGTGAGGTAGAGATAGGGCAATATATTTCTGTTTTGGAGGAAAGATTACAATTGGAGGATTTTCAGAACAAGGATTCTGCAAAACATGATTCGAGTGTAAAGTTGGACTATAAGAGTCACTTGGTGCATATGCTGTAGGCTGTGCCATCAGAAATCTACTGAGAGTATTGCCTCGTTTATTAGCAATTTCATCTTTTAGAGACATATGAATGTCAATGATTATGCTTACTTCATGTTGTCACTTATATCTCCTTATCTTCCTTTATTAATCTTAATCAAACTTATGAAATCATAATATTTCTCCTTTGCAGACCTTATGGAGATGTTAGTCCCAAGAGAGGATTTATTCATGGAAGCCATGAACCTGTCTAAGAGTGACACGGATGTCGAGACAGATCATGAAATTTCTGCTACGGAGCTGAATTATCGAGGTACTGTTAATCTGACCATGTAATCCTTTTTTTTTTTTCTCTTTTCTTTGCTGCAGCATTAGTAATACACATTTATTTCATGCTACTTAGTAGCAGAGTTGTGAAAGTTGTTTAGATTGCAATTAGAAGCTTTTTCTCAGTTTGAAGGAAAATTTGATCATTCAATGTAACCTAAATCCTTCCATATTTTTAAGTCACAAATCTGTTATCTTGCTAGTGCCAAGATATTAGAAATGTGGGAGATCTCGAATTTTCAACTTTTAAAGAAATTCAAGCTATCAGGATTTAGTTTTTTCCTTTCTATTTTTAGAAAATGATTGAACTCCGCGAATGGGAATTGAGCTGTTTATATTGAATGTCAAGCTATCAGGACTATGTTGCTTTGCTGAAGTTGATGACTAGTTCTGCTTTCATGATTTCCACTGTTTATATTGAACTTAAAAAAATATTTTATCAGCTACATGTTAGGTTTATCGAGGACAGGCTGTCTAGCAATGCCAGATATATATTCAAACAAGCCATAGGAACACGTGATGCGTGTGAATGACTTGAGAATTTGCAATGTGTGTTACGTTTCTAGCATATGAAGTGAAATGTATTTGTTCTTTCTGTGGTGATGAAGGTTATATATTCAGGAGTGTCTTAGTTTTTGATAATTGTTTCTACTCTAATATATTTAACTTAGAGGTTAAAAAAAGGTGTAAACTATGAAAACCTTTCTAATGAATTGGTGTGTAATTGAAGATTGCTACAACACAGATGAGGTTTCTTTGGTGCACACAGGACCAAAAATGAACACTTCGGAAGCTATTTGTGCTGGAGATTCTCATGGTAATATTGTATCCAGTTTAGTACCTTCTTTAGTGTTAGAGTTCTAGCCTGTAATTAATGGTAGAGTAGTCTAGAAAGCAAAGCACTCTCAGAAACTGTTGGTCATAAAATTCCATACATGCAACTATGTGGCCACGTACATAAAATAAAAGATAAATAAATAAATAAATAAGGAGAGGACAACCTCGCTTGAAATGCAGGCTCTGACTTCCACAATGGTCGGTTTTGCGTACGTGAACACGTCTTTCTGGATGTGGCCAAACCCTGTGATTGGGGTTATTCCTGGTTCCTGGGGTAACTCTGTTAGAATTTCCAATGTAAAACTGTAGATGATAAACTATTATAGTTTACAAGCAGGAAGCATCTCAGTACTTGGCTCTGTATTCCCAAAGAGACACATAGATGCATTTGTAATATTAGATGATAGATTGACCACTGATATTGTTGTGAACTTGTAATGACTCTAAATGATGATTATCCTTACAAGCTGCTAAATGTGCAGGACATTAAAGCTGCAAATTTAAATGGTCTGGATAATAAGCTAGCGAGTCATGATTTTTATTTGGCTCTTAGGTATTCTCACAAGATATAAGAACAGTGAAAGGTGAATGGTCCCAATTCCCTGATTTATGGGACTAAATAGGGAATTTGATGACAAAGTCGAAATTATTGATGAATAGTTATTATGCATCGGAGAAATGTTGCATTTTTGTCATTATAATTCCATGTGGTATCCTGAAATAGTTATTTTTTTCTCTTCTTCAGTTTTCTCCCTTTAGTGTTCTGCATCAGAATCGACCTTCTGTTTCTTTCTTGACAGATGAACTTTTCTTTCATTTGCCGTTTGTCATTCTAATTTCTTTGCTGGTTTTCCTTTTCTGGAACAATTGGATCGTGATTGATACAGAGTTTCAATAGGATATATCTAAAGTGATGTAACATTTATTTGCTGATACTTCTGTATATTTTCATCCTTTAGGAGAACGACAAGAAAAGGGGACATCCACCTCACATATTCATAGCCAGCAAAAGTTTCAGAATCAATCCCAAAAGTTGCGCTCAGGTCAGCACTTTTACTTGATGGTTTTGTGCAAAAAGGTTTATAATTATTCATATTTCCTGGAGTTCTTTTTTTTTTTTTTTCTTTTTCTTGGACAATATGTTTATTTTTCTCATTCTAGTTCCAGTCTAGAAAGATAGCGAGCACCTGTTCTTTAGGGTCTCGGATATAATTTCTTGTTTTCTCGTAGTATCTCAGCTTTAATTTTCCCGACAGTATGGGATTCTGAGTTTTATAGGGTTGGCCTTTTACAATTCTACAGTGAAGACTGAAAACCCAGAAAGCCAAATCAAGATTTCCAAGAAACATGCTTTGCCAAAGAGTTCAACTCTTATGAAACCAACAGCAAGTCAGCTAGCCAAGCAAAATCGTCCTTTCCAAGCTATTAATTCCAGGTAACTATCAATGTTTTTAGTTGCATTGTACAATACTTATAATGTTTCTATTCCCAGTAGTGATGAAATACACCATTATTTTCTGTTGCCATATGTAAAAACTAGAAATTGCTGATCACATTGTTAATTTCCTTTAATGAAAAGCACATATATATTATCAAGTCAATTTAGAATTTTAATCTTTTTCAATCATATGAAGGAACCATAACCTGATTTTTATGTAAGCTTAGTAAGCTTTTTGTTACTTCAAATGCTAGGTTACATGTGGCTGCGTTGGATAGAACCTCTAAAAATTGTGCTAATACTTGTGTGGTTGAGAATCAAGCTGCAAAAAGACAAAAGCTTGAGGGTGGTCTCCTGCGGAAGGTATAGAAATTTTCTTCATGTTTATTTATCACTTTCTACTTTTTT